GACAGCTTGTGTCGACCATTATTTCCAGCAAACAGTACAGATTCGATAAGAAAAGAACTTCGATGCACCCCTCTCTGAGTTTAGAGTATGGCTGTGGAGTGGGCGATGTCGCGCTACTCTGTACCTTTCCATTGTCTTTTCGATTTGCGCAAGTACATGCTGAGAAGACGTTGAACCTCACACCACAAATGGATCCGTCCTATAACAGCTAAAAGAGGGGAGAGCCCATAATTACCTGAATTCAGTTTCTGCGACACAATGTCATAGCGCTAGTTTCAAATTACACCATCCCGGTACTCATTCCGTTACATAGTGTAAAGGGCGATAATCGCGCAAGCACGGACTCTATGCAGCTCTCCGAGGCGATTGCAGAACGACTTGGAGGGATATCATCTACAAAGCATTAGTGTTATTCATGCCTGACGAACATAATAATGGTACCCTGGCGGGATCAGCCACTCCCGTTAATGGTTTAAGATTCCATGTTGCTACAGTTGTATACTCTTTTTAAACGCATGTTGCTTTTATATAAGATATTTGTTAAAGGTACACTAAGTACAGTTTGGTAATTTGCTATATGCACAATTATAAACGTGCATCAAGACACGCATTCTAATATGGATGATAGATGTATCAGTGCTTCAAACAAGTATACGACAAATTGTCGTACAATACGGTACTGCGCTGGATAGTGGATACAGAAGCGACCTCGAATTCTGAAACTTTCTAATTTTGAATAGCTGTGGGTTCCTTTGGAAATCGATCTGCACATCTTACATAGACCATTGCAGTAGGGTTTCCTTTATTTATAGTGCAAGGAGAATTAACGACAATACTCGCCGGGCCATTGCAGGGTTAGAACAGACCTGCGGCCGATGAGGAACTCTCAGAAAAAGACGATAAGCAGATCTGCTGACGAATGTATTTGAATATGCGTTGTATCGTGGAAGCATAGCCTCCTATCTTTATAGGAGGCTATGGTGGAAGTTTCTGGTTCTTTTTTTGGGTCAGATATAGAGTGCTTTACAATTCAGAATACTTTACTATTGTGAGTCGAAAGTGAGACCGGGAGGCGAGTTGGGCAAATTGTTGCACCCGTGCTTAGCACGGATACCCAGTCGAAATAGTTGCTTTAGTAGTCACCCTTGACATTCATTCCACAATACACAGCGAAATGTGGTGTGGGTTAGCATAGGCTGACCCATTCATATGGACAATGTATTCGGACATAACCTACTGTCTATTTTAGAAGAAGGCTATGATTCGGAACGTATGTATCATAGCCTCCTACATGTTGATTGTTCAAGGGGCTAAGGACATAAATACAAACATACAATCTTTTTTAAACCCTACATTCTTGGATATGAATTATGAAGGAACCTAAGATTAGAGTTCATAGAGGACTCATTCCGAACTTCTATACTGTATAAATACAAGTTTCGGCTAAATAAATAATAATAAATAATTTTCAGCGACACGCGCCTGTGCATCATTAGCTGGCCAA